CTGACGAAGTGGACAGACTAGAATGGAACAGAAACAGTAAAGGAATTTTTTATGTCAAATCTGCATACAGGGAGCTAAATGTAGAAGTAGTGAAGGAAAAAGAATGGCCTTGGAAGATGATATGGAAACCGAAAATTCCCTACAAAGTTAACTGTTTCATCTGGCTTCTGGCCAAAGAAGCAGTGTTAACTCATGATAACCTGAACAAAAGAGGTCACCAACTAACCACCGGTTGTTTTTTATGTGAGGAACAAGCTGAGACAATCAACCATCTTTTTTTGCACTGCAAATGGACAGACCAGCTTTGGAAGATGTTCATCAGTTGGAAAGGGATTAGTTGGGTGAAACCTGGAAGCATTGCAGACGTTCTAAGATGCTGGAATGTGGATGGTAATGTGAGCAAGAAGGAAGAAAAATGGAAGATCGTCCCAGCATGTATTTGGTGGTCAATTTAGATTGAGAGGAACAAAAGGTGCTTTGAGGGGACTTAAAACAACATTCAGAATCTTAAAATGAATTGTTTAGGCCTTTATTATTTTTGGTGTGAGCAAAAACTACTAGCTCAAACAGAAGATATTTGTGATGTTTTCAACTTTTTGTAAGGCACAGAACTGAATTACAAGTTGTAAGTTGTAATATTTTTGAAGGGGTACTACACCTTGGTTGTAGTATACCTGTGCATATATAGAAGTAAAGTTACCATCATCAAAAAAAAAAAACTTACTTATCCCACCAGTTATAGCATAGTGATGGGATAAGTTATCTCATATACATGGTGGGATAAGTTATCCCATGATAACTAATCATGGGATAGTTTATCTTGGGTAACTAGTTCCAACCAAACGACCCCTTACATTTTCTTATTAACAAAAAAATTATCAAGTTTTGCATGGCTTAAAACTCAAAATGGATAATGGCCCACTTCTCTACCCTTCTCTGCTTCAAGGCTTTCGTCTGCCACAACGTTTGAACCCTTGACATGCACCTATAACCTATACATTACGCGTTGCCTTCTTACCACCACACCAAATCTCTGGGGGAACTCAAAACAATTACTTACTTAAGAACAGATCAAGGGCTACAATAAGGTAAACCAAGATATGTGAAGCCTAAAAATAAAACAGTACTGCAATTTTTACCTTTAAATTGTTAGTCAACTATGTGACCCAAGTTTTTTTATAAATGAAGCATCCAACTGTATACTAAAATGTAAGATTACTTGTAATGATTATTCAAGCATATAAAAAAAAGGTAACTGAAAAAACAATTACAAGAAAACTATCGTGTACTGAATGTCATTCAGAGGTTTATGAGGAACCATGTTAGTTACTAGATGTTAAACATTTGACTAAGCTTTCTTATCTGTGCTCGTCTCTGCCTAATATTAACCTTGATTTAGACACTTAGTAATCAATCAAACGATATACTTTGCTCTGCACAACATGTTTGCTTAAGCACGACGAACTTTAGGTTGTGAAGTGCAACTTACAAGTTTCAATATATTAAATTTAGTTGTTGAGAAAAATCGACAACAATCAGCAGGTAAAACTAACTATCCTTCCCATTATCTGGGAAAAATAGGAGAACTTTTATTCAAAAAACATGTTGGTTAGCTTCATAAGCCAAAGAAGAGAAATGACCAAGTTCTCCTAATTTTTTTAATGTTTTCTTTGTGCTCCTCAATGATCTTTCCCCGCAAAACACTTTGTCTTTATTGAGGAAATTTCAGTTAGTTCCCATAATGCATCTCAATCATTTCTCATCAATCATGTAAGTGTAATCCATCAAACAATTGACTATACATCAATCGAAACTAGTTGGGTTAGGTATATGAAGTTCTTTTTACTGTTCTGTTCTACTCAGCTCATTTCATTTCAACACATCAATTAATAAGTGTAATTCAAATATTAACAACATCACGGATAGACAACTATTTAAAAAATAAAAGAAGTCCAGAACATGGGCAATGAATGAAAACATACATGTGATGAAGATTGATACTAGTCCTTTTTATTGATAAAATCCAAAGAGGAAAACATAGAGACATACCAAGCAATAATAACGAGGCCGAGAATATGGCAGTCCAAATTGCAGTGGACTCAAAATAAATTCTTGTGTAACAAAATTATTCTTTTCCAATATATCAACCAATATTGCATGGGTATCAGAAGTCTGCAATGAAGGAAAAAGGCTTTATATATATATTCTAAGATGACCATCTGCCCCAATATAGCATAAGACAGCTGGATTAGTAAAAACATAGGTGGTAGAATGAAGCATGAATTGGGAAAGGCACAAACCTCAAATCCTACAACATTTTCCACAAAAAGATATGATGGAGGACGTAATAACTGTGGTACAAGTTCCAGAATTTTAAGAAATGATGATGCACGTGCATCACTAGAACCTTTCTGGAGTCCTGACACAAAAAATGTACCAAAAGGGTTACAGTTAATATGGCCACAAGAAGAAGAAAGAAAAGCTAAATGGGGGAACACGGTTGCTGGCCTGGGCACCACGGTTATAAAAAGAATGGGGGAATGCAATTCATCACCTTGTCGAGTATATGGCTGACAAGGAGGAGAAAGTAACCAAGCATCAGCATTGTAGCCGTCAAGATCAGCGGCATTCAGAGTCTGAATGTTACCCTATTGTCACCCAAAAATATAAACTTTATCAATACTAGTTAAGTATCATAATAAGATTTGAAACTACCAATGTATAAGCAATTTCTCAGTGAAATTCTTTTTTGACTAGTATAAATTATCAGAGACATTTGTATAACATTCATAGAGTAAAATGCTCCCTCCATTTCAAACTGAGAGTCCACAATATTTTTCCATGTGAGAATAAAAAAAGTAAACATTTCATGCATGGTAAAGAACTCACTTTTACTTCTCTGCATACAATTTTTTCTCTACTTACTATGTATAATAGAAAAGGAACCTAAAAAGCTCCGCTATATATGTTTTGTTACTGAACAATGCTTATTGATCTTAGAATGGAAGTTTTACTCCATTCAAGTCCAACAAACTGAATAATCTTGTATCTGAATACCCCGACAGGATTCTGTATTTTCTCCTTCGAGTTTTCATCGACAGAATAAAGACTGGAAAATCTACTCTCACAATCCAAATTTACATGAAATTGTTGACAATTTGATACGTTCAAAATGTAGAATACCATTTCACCAATAAACACTTCTATACAAACTTTCAACACTACGAAATTCAATAAAATTTTCAAACTTCCAACTTTGATATGATATCTTCTCGACTAAATCTACACTAGCTAAACTAATGTACCAATAAACGAGAGGGAGTACAATTTTTCAACAGTGGACGAGAATTAGTAAAAGTAAATTAATTGTTAAAAACAAAGCAATTATGTGGTTGATTTTTTTTCTCAAACACCTGAAAAGGCCGGTGACCGAAGTTGTGCTGGTAAACATCATTAGCAACGTCGTTTATATCGAAAGCTTCTACAACAGTGGCGTCGACGGCGGCTTTGAGCAGAGAATACCGCAAGCCACCAATTCCACTGTAGAACTCCAGCACTCGCCATGGACTTCTAGAAACTTCCGATTCCATCAACTAGCTATTGCCAAGAATTTATAGTAAAACTGAAAGCGATTCGCAGCTCTGCAGTATTTGTCCAGACGCAAGCAAACAACCGTCGGCGGGCAGTGCTCTGTAATTGTTAAAGAGTTTTTAACTCAATTGTGTCCCTTAAGTTTTAGAATTCATCTGTTTTGGTCCTTAGGCCAAACACATACACAGCCCAAGAAAATCCATAATTGTTTTGAAGAGTTTATCTATATTTTAGCGTAAAAATAGTCGACGATGTATGTTCGTTTTCTTTTTTAAGGATCAATTAAATTAAATAATTTTTTTTTGTCATACTCTAAGCTATTTAAATTTAACTCAACAGACTTTTGTTGAATTATTGTTGATTTTTTAAAAAAAATAAAATAAATATTTTTTATCGATTATTCTTCACGTAACAATACAAAGAAACTCTAAAAAAAAATTCTTATTTTAAAAACCAAATTTTCATTAGTCAATTTTTATTTTGTTTTTATAATAATTAACATGGCCAATGTTGATTTTTTTAAAATGCAAATTATAGTTGCTGAGCATATTTTAAAATAAAGAAATCATATATTGATATTTGTGTTTCAAATGCTATATTAAAAATAGAATTGAAGGGTTAAAACGAAACATGATTAAGATAAAGTGTTAAAATAAAAAATAAGGACAAGTTAGAGGGGTTATATATGTATTTGGCCTTGTTAAAATATTTAAATGTGTTTGTGTGGTTAGTTTAAGAGTTAAATATTTTGAGTTTCATGCTTAAATTTATTGAATATAAAATAATTAATCGCACTTTTATTATATGAAAAGATTAATTTTATCTTTATTATATGAAAAGATTAATTTTATCTAGATACTATAACTAAAAGTATCTTTGAATAGGCTTATTACTTTTGACTTATAAATTAAAAATCATAACTTAGATTTTTTACTTAATTATTTTTATAATTTTAACTTAAAAATAAAATAAATCACATGGTCTACTACTCTTAATATAATTTATCCCAAAATTAGTAATCAAACAAGTATAAGACAATTCAATTTTTTTTTATCATAAAACAATTTATTGTTGTTTATCATACAAAATGACCCCTTAACAACTCGTTTGGAATTGAATAGTTGTTATCTATTATCTTGTATTATATCCCGTAAATATAATATTCAGTCGCTATAATATTTTGCTGTGTACGAATCTGCAAATCACATAGGCGATATAATCCCTTATGCAATAGGCTCGACTTATAAGACATTAAAATTTGATAGGATCAATCCAAGTCATTCGTGTAGATAATCACCCTCCAAACTAATTGACTCATTCTGCGAGTAACTTTTATTTTAATTGTTCTAAAATTTTACTTTTAACCTATTATTAAATTTATTGTTATATACTAATGAAACATTCGACGAGCTTGGTAAAAAGGGAGCAAAAGGACACCATTTTTGGGGATTTAGGGTTTATTGTGCTTTTGACTTGTAGGGGTCTTAGCGTTTGCAAACTAGCTAAAAATGAAAGCTTTACTCCCTTCCTCTTCGCAGATTCCTCCATGGCTAATCCTCTATTGCAGACGCCATTTATGCATTTCTTCAACCTCATCTTCACTAACAATCCAACAACCAAAAACTCCTCCGCCTCCACCTCCAGACTCAACTACCAATTCTCTTGATACTGACCATTCTTGTGGCAGACCCAATTCGGAAGATGTTAAGTTCACCAAGAATCATGTCGTTGATGTTCTTCTCAGTCACAGAGATGACCCTGACTCAGCTTATAGGTACTTCCAAACTGCTAGACTCCAAAGGGGTTTTCTACATTCTAAATCTGACCCTTTCTTTGTTCTGCTTCACATATTAGTGAATTCTGCAATGCATCAACATAAATCTCGACGTTTGCTTGATTATTACGCTTCTAGTGACTCCGGTCCGTCTGCTACTGTTGTTTTTAATGGTCTAGTGAAGTGTGGTAAGACTTTTGATTTTGGGTTAAATCCCAAGATTTTCAATTTCTTGGTAAGTAGTTGTATGAAAGCTAATCGATTGAATGATGCTATTGATTGTTTCAATGCGATGTTGGAACATGATATAATGTTGTGGATACCAATCATGAACAGCCTTTTAAAGAAATTGGTGAGGCAGGGCATGGTTGGAGTAGCGGAAGATTTGTATACTGATATAGTGTCGAGAGGAACTCATTATGATTGTGGGACTGTTCATATTTTGATGGAGGCTTGTCTCAGAGAAGGGAAAATGAAGGAGGCTGTGAAGCTTTTAGAGGAGACTAAGATGAGTGGAATTAAGTTTGATGCAGGATTATATAGCTGTGGGGTTTATGTTGCTTGTAAGGAGCAGAATCTAAGTTTAGCGTTGAAGTTGTTGGAGGAGATGAAATGCGGGGGTTGGGTTCCTTCTGAAGGAACGTATACAAACATAATTTTGGCTTGTGTGAAACAAGGGAATATGGTCAAGGCATTGAGGCTCAAGGATGAAATGCTTAGTAATGGCCATCTGATGAACTTGGTGGTTGCAACAAGTTTGATGAAAGGGTATCATCTGCAGGGGAACTTATCAAGTGCTTTGGATTTGTTTGACAAACTGGTCGAGTATGGACTCACTCCGAACAAGGCGACATATGCAGTTTTAATAGAAGGTTGCTGTAAAAATGGGGATGTTGAAAAAGCATTACTAGTTTACAGGAAAATGAAACTTGCAGGTATTAAGTCTAATGCTTATATTGAAAATTCGTTGATAAAGGGATTTTTAAATGTGGACTTGTTAGATGAAGCAATGAATGTGTTTGATGGGGCAATAAATTCAGGGACGGCCAATGTTTTCGTTTACAATAGTATAATAGCATGGTTGTGTAAGAAGGGTCAAATGGATAAAGCTCAAAACACATGGGATAAGATGGTTGCTAATGGAATTTTACCTACTATAATTTCATACAACAATATTATTCTCGGAAATTGCAGAAATGGGAATATGGACAAAGCATTGGATTTCTTCTCCCAGTTGCCAGAAAGACATTTGAAAGCTAATGTTGTAACATATAGCATTTTGATTGACGGGTATTTTAGAAAAGGTGATGCTGATAAAGCTGAGAACATGTTTGATCAAATGGTCTCTTCAGGAATTTCCCCTACTGACTACACATTCAATACCGTGATCAGTGGTATGTCTAAGGTTGGCAAAACATCAGAGGCAAAAGATTTGCTTAAAAGGATTGTGGAAGGAGGAGACCTCCTTCCAACATGCATGTCTTACAATAGTCTAATCGATGGATTTTTGAAGGAAGATGATGTCAGCTCAGCTTTGTCTGTTTATAGAGAGATGTGCAATAGTGGTATTTCCCCAGATGTTGTCACTTACACAACTTTGATTGATGGGTTATGCAAAAGCAATAACATAAATCTAGCTCTAAAACTGCTGAAGGAGATGAGAAATAAAGAAATTAAGTTAGATGTCATTGCATACGCTGTTCTTATAGATGGGTTTTGCAAAAGAAGAGATATGAAAAGTGCTTCTGAACTTTTTGATGAAATTCTTCAAGTTGGTATCTCTCCTAACCTATTTGTTTATAATAGCATGATGAGTGGGTTTATAAATGTAAATAATATGGAAGCAGCACTAGTCTTGCGTGATAAGATGATCAATGAAGGCGTTCCATGTGATCTGAAAACATACACCACATTGATTGATGGGCTTTTGAAGGATGGAAAAATAGATCTGGCGTCTCATTTGTTTACTGAGATGCTTGGAAAGGGTATAATGCCTGATGACATCACATATACTGTTCTTGTACATGGTCTTTCCAATAAAGGCCAGGTTGAGAATGCACACAAAATCTTAGAGGAGATGTATAAAAAGAGTATGACTCCTAGTGTTCTGATTTATAATACACTAATTGCTGGATACTTCAAGGAGGGAAATTTGCAAGAGGCATTTAGGTTGCATGATGAGATGCTTGACAAAGGTCTTAAGCCCGATGATGCGACCTATGATATTCTTATAAGCGGAAAGTTGAAAGATAATAGTTTCGGTCGTGGTAGTTCAATGCCACAATGAACCAGATACCCTTAGCAATTTGTTCACGAGATACATTGGCTGTCACTGCTGTCTGCAAGGTAAGGTGAACTTGGTAACTAGTTGCTGCAATAAATTAAGTTAGGTGCCAACGAGATTTGGCTTCGCTATGACCATTCATTTATACGTATTTTAGGTCGACAACTTTAATGTTTGGGGTCCAATGAAGTGCTTTCTCTTCGTCATCTCGAGCCCCTCGAAGGTATGAATTCTAGTTCTTCATCTTTCTAAGTTTTCAGCTGTTTCAATGATTCAGGATTTCATTGAATGGTATTATCTGATTTAGAAATGAAATTGAGTCTTCAAAAAACTTGAAATTGAATCCATGAGTTCAGGCTGTCATATATATGTTGGTGAATAAGTAAAAATCTGGATCTTTTTCTTTTTGTTGGAAAATTAACAGTGTAATTTGGATGTATTCCACGTGTGATGGTGCTTTGTTTTATTTGGACTTTATAGAAAGATGAATTCTAGATGACCTTTTTTATAGGTAAGCTTATTCTTATTAACCTAGTGCCACCATATTGTGCTGGATATCACAGAGGAGATTAAAGTATAAGTAAGCTCCCTATTTTTCAGCCGAAAAGCTGCGGAAATCGATAAGATCTCTACCCATTTACCATCTCCATCTTACACCAATAATCTGGAGAAAGAAAGACTTCTTACTTTTAAGCTATGAATTATTGGACATCCTCTGGATTTGCTTGCGAGATATCTCAAGTCTCTTTCTTTCCAAATGATCCCCTTAAACAGGGTGGGATAGCATACCAAATCTAACTTATGGCTTTGTTTAGTCCTTTCCTTGTCCAGCTATGCAGTTGCTCCTGCTGTATTAGGTGTTACTCATCTTACTCCATATGTAGTAAGGAAGACAGCGCGACAGTTCGATGCCTTTTGCAGTATTGGAATAAATGATTGCTATCTTAAGCCATCATTCTTTTTTTTATTTATTACCGTGATGTCCGGGCCAATTTTTTGTGCACCTCGGCTAATTCCACTGGATCAGCAATACGGTACCAAGGCTACCAGGCAACTCTGTCTACCAAGGCTAGGACATATGGAAAGAATCATCTAGTGTTTTTTTGTCTTCACTGATCTTAAGCCACCATTGTACAGAGGTATGATTCCCCTCCATCGCAATTTGCCAAGTCGGGGCTGCCTCATAAGACACCACCTGACATAAGCAAAGCCCCTTAATATAGAGCCTTGTTCCTCCAAATTCTCTTCCAAGGCCATTGACCGTGTTGATCAGCAGTATGTAGCAGATTTTCTACACTGAATTTTTGTTTTATAGTGAGTGATGAATACTCGAAGTTGGGCTTATATGATCTTGTTGCGCAACTGAAATTTCATTGTTTTATGCAACTCTTTCTTATGCTAAAAGAACTGTCCTGATTGAGGGCCTTCCACAATTTGTTGGTTCGTTGAGTTATTTTGCTATCCCTCCCCCCCCCCCCCCCCCCCCGTCCCTTCCATTTCCAACGCTTGCACAAATTTTATGATCTTTTGAGACCATGCAGTTTTGCTTGCTCTCTCTCTCTCTCACACACACACACACAGAGATCCTTCTTGCTGTTTGCAAAATCATGAGGTAACTAGATACACACCTCGTTGGGAAGAATCTTTTAAAAAGAACAAACAACATTCCTTCTTACTAATAATCGAGTCTCGTGTCTGACCATTTTTTACTCTAGGTTGAAAGCCTGATATTAGAAGAACTTAAAAAGGTGTGATCATAGAGAGTTAAACCATATTGTCAAGCCTTTTGCTGAAGTATGAGAAAAAGACACTTGAATTATCGGATTCTCTGGAAATAAGGACGGTGAGACTTGCTGTTTTGTTTTTCATCTTTACGTAGGGAAGTTCTATTATATTTCTTTAAGACTGGAAATGAAGTTGCAAATAATTTTTCCTTGTTAGTCATAGAAGTGGTTGAAAAAGCTCATGAAATTGATTTGCAGATGATTAATTACCCTTTTCACTTAAACAGGGAGACCTGGCCTCTCTTTTTACAGCTTTTTTAGTCCTGCCAACTTTTTGTAAGTTCATGCACAGGTATCTGAAGAGTCTCAAAGAGGCAGCGTTACCTGATTTCACTTCGTATGTGAAAGCTTCACGGGAAAACTAAATAAGTACTACACTGAAACATTTACTTGGATCTCTTGAAATTTTGAAAAGCAGGCTGTAGAGACTTCTACTGAATTTTGCGCTTGCAAATCAAATTTGGAAATTGGTCCAGGGATGCATCACATTTCTGCTTCTCATGTAATCTCAACTGAACTTGTGAACATACTGGATGTCCTTTACAGAATTCTCTCCTGAAGAGGAGGGTAGAAGTGATGAACTATTTATGAGAGGTGTGTGCGCAAAACATGTAAATTGAGGTTTAAATCATTAGTATAGAATACTGTGAACAATTAGAATTTTTTAGGTACCTGAAATGTCCCTCTCCAATTTACTTTATCAAAAAAGAGAACACAAGTCTCCAACTCTCCAAATGAGGAAAGATGAAGAATGAAGCTTCTACATCTTTTCTTTGCCCCATTGGGTAGAATGTTCAGTTTGTTTGCTCAGAATTTACTTTTCCATTGTCGCAATGCAGTGAGCAATATTTCCAACTGCATATAATAGGACAGATATCATGATGTGAGGAATAAAATCTCCAGATAAATACTTATGAGCAAAATGCTGGATGTAAGCAGTTATGATAAGTTTCAGTTACCATATTAATTGCATTATCAATCAAGAATGTCTAGAAATCCTCAGAAAGAAATGCTTAAACTTTCCTTCTGGTTTCGTTATCAAATGCTTGCAGGGGGGGCAATTTATCCGTTCACTTATATGTGCTCTTCAGCTTGTAAATCAAGATGAGGGATGCTATGCATCAGAATTGTTGTTTTCATATGGCTTAACTTACGTGAGGTCACTTAAAGTTGTCCGCATAATTCGCTTAGACATTTTAACTAAGACTTGTGCCTATTGAACACTTTTATCCTTTCAAATTTTTCCAATTTGAACCATTTGAACATTTTTTTCTAGGTGGCACATTGCATGTGATTTACATCCTATGAGTGCGTGAAAGGTATTAAATTGAGCACTTTTTTATGGAAAAGAATTTCTTCTTCATCTTCTTTGGCATCCCATCCTTCATCACACCACAAGTTTGCCTCTACCGCCGCCGTTGCTATACACCCTTTTTCTTCTTCTTCAATTCTCCGGATACTTCAGTTCTTTTACCTCTATTAGTTTTTATTTTTTTTTGCCCGTTGTCACTCATATTAGAATTGGATGCCTCACCATTGAAACCACCACCATTATCACCATCATTTTCATCATGTTTGATTTGTAAAGGTCTTTGGAGTTTGTCTCTTTGCTATTAATGCAGTAAATTGATATTCAGTTGTTTGAATTTATTGAAGGATTATTCAATTTATTATTTGATTTGTTCAATTTTTTATTGAAGTTTTTTGGATTTGTCATGAATGTGTTGTTTTGCCTTTAAATTTATGTATATTGACAAAATGTAAGGATGTTCTTCATCACAAAAAGTTAATCAGTTATGAAACACAAAAGAATTTTTAGAATTCTCCATTTTTCCCGAGAATGGCAGTTGAAACTCATTAATTTTTCGGCGAGTTTTTTTCTTTTTGCAACTTTCTCTACCTTAAATGAGACGAAGAAGAAAGGTTATAATTGAAAAATAGGCTGATGGAAAGGAAGATTTGTTGTGTTGGAGATGAGATCGTACATGAAGAGGGAGATCGCCATGAACTGGGTGATATTGTAGAGGTAAATCTGAATTTTGAGCTTTAGTGGATAGCACGGGAAGTTGGTTTAAAGTTTCAGCTTTTTCTTTACTTTATAATGTAATGTTTAGATAATTTTTTGGATTAAAATAAACACATGTCATTATTTAATTAGTCAAATTGACATGTCATTGTGAGTGTAATTCACACATTTTCTACTTTTAGCTTAGGCTTAACACATAAACAGCCCTTGAAGTTGCACGCGTTTTTCGATTCGACACCTTAGCAAGATCTTTTTCCTATTAAACACTTAATGTTACTTGAAGTGTGTCTATAAGACACATATTGTTGATCTGACATAGTGATTGTGATGCACTCATTAAAAGCGCGTGAGATGTTTGTAATATCTCTTTATTCCTATTTTTTCTCCTCTTAACCCTTCTCCTCTGTTTCCCCAGAGTCATAATCATCTCTCATTCACCTCTTGAGAATATCTTCTTCCTTCATTTTCTAAAGTTAAAATTAAAATGGTATTACTAAAGCAACATCAATCTTGATGGTTGAATTTTAAAAAAAACATGATTAAACAAAATCCATAAACAAAGTTGCTAAAAATAACTAAATATGGAGTTGTACCTATTTGATTTCTTGGTAATTTCAAGTTTTAATCATATTTATTAATGATAAAAAAGAGCGGAAGAAGAAGAGAAGATGTTCTGAAAAAAATTGATAGCTTCACGGGGCAAGAAACAATTGAGCTATGCAAGTTAGAGAATATTGTTTGGAAGGAAAACGAGGATAAATTATGAAATATCTTTATAATAAAAATAAAAAGAACAATAGAGAATTCATAAAATTATTAATGGTGGAATTTAAGTTAGACAGTGAGGAGGGGTTTCAAAGAAGATGATGCGGAGGGGGATGCTGGATCTGATTAAAAAAATTTGTAAAATTTTGCCACATGTCATGGTATGATTCACTCTTTCTTCATGTTATAATGTCTGAAAGTCACGCACTCTAAATACTTTCGATGATGTCATTGAAGTGTCTGATAGACACCCTTTGGATATGCATAAGGTGTACAATAAGAATATGGCCTTATTAAGGTGTCTAAACGGAAAAATCATGCAAGTTCAAGGGGTTGCTTATGTGTTTAGCCTTTAACTTATTCTCAAAAAAATGTTCAAATGATTCAAATTTAAAATGGTAAAGGTGTTCAATAGGTAAAAGTCTTAGTTTAGATGTTTAAGTGAATTATCCGGACAACTTTAAGGGAGCACTTAAGCCCTTTTCATATTGTCAATATGAGTTGAGGAGGAGAATGGTGTCAAGTTTAGAAGGCAGTGGCGTAGCCACATAGTGATTGGACACCCTTCGTTGAAAAAAATAGCATATCCACAAGTAAAATGATATACGAAATGATTAAATAATCTATTTTAGACACCCTTAACATAACAAGTTGTTATTTTTAAACATTCTTGAAGATTTTGCTATTTTTCATGATATGTGATAATATTGTTTGTGTAAACGTTAAGCAAAGGTTCGAATAATTAAACATTTATAACAATATACTTTGAATAAAAGCAGAGATATTAACTATTGAGTTACAAGAAAAAACTCTTAACTAATTCTATAAATAATAACTTGTGTTCATGTGAGTTGAACAGGTGGGAAATAAGGAAGACATTTACTGGTAAGACAAGCACTCCAAGTACTAAAGCAACCAACTCCAGGAGTAGTAGTGCAACAGGAACAATTAAAACCCAAATAGTTGAAGGGTACACATCCATGGTTTGTTGTCAAGTTTGCTATTGGAACCACTGGTCCTGGACCATCTTGAGGCCTACAAGGGTCCTTTGCACCTGCCATGTCATCGCACAAGAAATTATAACTAATTTTTCCTATCGTAACTCGAATGGTAAGTACTCTTCACCTTTAACCCTAAAGTTGACGATTCGACTGGAGCTAAAATATGGGAGAGGTGTAAAACAAAAATGCAACAATGATGACTCGTATATTTCTGGTGGCTGAAACTCGAGATTTTTTATTGAGTGCGAAGGAGTATCATTTCTTTAATATAAAATAAAAAGTTAAGCACGTAGAAATCGATTATAGAATATTCTACTGAAAGAATAAGTGTTTCTCGCTCAAATGATTGAAAGCTTGGATTGATTCTTTTTTTTTTTTTACTTATAAATAAAAAAATCATAAGTTATATATTCAAATTTATGACCTTTGATTTAGTTTTATTATATTGACATAAAATCAAGTATGTATAAGCACTAAATTCATCCCTATTTAACTTAAAAACACTTAAAATAAGTTAATTCAAACACGCTACAACTCTTTTTTCAGATAATTACTCATGATCGTCACAATAATAATTCAAATTAAAGTGTTGACGTGATGGTTCATTCAAATAATTAAAATAAAAGAATTTAAGTCCTATCAACGAGTAATTCGTTTGTTAATTCTGGTGGAAGAGTTTTATCATTTATGATTAATAATTAATAGATATACAACTTTTTAAAACCATATATATATACATATATAAAATAAAATAAAAGTTGAACATACCTTCGTATTGCGCCAAAATGGAAAAAAATACACAGCAAGCCACAAAGAAGAAACGAATGGCCATGTTGAATTAGCACACTAATAGGTAGTAGTAAGTTTTTTTTTTTTGAAAAAATGTTAATTTTCAACCTCTTTTTATAGTGATTTCAACTTATTGGTCAATAATTATAGGGATGTATTGAATAAGTTTTTTCCCTAATTTGGCTGGTATAATATAATCAACCTGCCTTTAAAAAAATAAGATTTTCATATCATTTTTCTATAAAATTTGTTAAACCACATTAACATTAATCAAGATTAGTCTCTTCTTATGCGCTTTGTGCATGCACCCTATATTAATAATACACTCAAAAATCAATAAATAATGTTATTTTTAAAAAAATCTTGATTTTTGAATTTTATTCTAAAAAAGGTTTCTAGCATATTTTCATGCAATACTCATCTTAAGTTGATTATTTAATTGAATTATTTATTAATTAACACACACAAATGTGTGTTTTAAGCACGGTGTCATTTTCTATATTTTAATCATTTTTTATTAATAGATTTTACACACGATAGAATAGTCATTTACACTTTGTTTGTGTGATTGTTACGTGTCTTTTTTATGAAGCATATTGTATAGTATAGTATTGTATTGTTTTTAGTAAATACATCAGTTGGATATATTACATAGTTTTCCATCATACATAATGTCACACATCAACAACTTGAATGACAGACATACAAGAAAAGTAGGGTATGATGTAGACTTTATGATCCTCTTTCAAGTTTCAATGAGAATAATTTTGTACCATTTTCAATAATTTAAAGATAATTTAAACTTTTTTTTGTTTAAATTTTAAATATTTTTTTTTTCAACTTATGAGGAAAATGAGGAAAACAACAATGATATATTTACATAGAAATGATTAGTTGAATAAAAAGTGACTTACTTATGTTCCTATATTGCACTTTTCTTCCATTTGTATCCAATATTCAAAATAAAAAATAATATTAACATTTCCTATGAAAAGAATATGAATATATAAGTCATTTTAAAGTCTGAGTTTCCGATATAAGAATAAAAGGTTTTAAAAAGGAGGAGTGAATAAACAAGACAATTGGATAAATAATAGAAAATGTTCTATTAATAAAAAATAATAATATTTTCAGATGGACAATCAGGGGGAACGAATATAAATTTTAGTTGAATCCCTAGTTATGAGTTGGATATAATTAGTTGAGAGTTGATTTAAAATAGACCAATAAAAAAATATCATGAGATTAATAGTTTTTTGAAAATTATTTTCAACTAAAATAGAGTCAAATATGAATCATATGTCGTTTTCAATATTTATTTGAGAAAATTTTGAATTTGAACTAATTAGACTAGATAACATAATAATTATGGTCATGTGATATGGAATCATGATATCATATCATAATATGAAATCACGAGATGAAATTGAAATTTTGTTTGGATATATGATATGCACTTTTTGTATGGTATACTTTTTCATAAACATAAGAATCTCATAAGTTATAAAACTATTAAACGACCTCAATTCTTTATTTAATTTTATCAAATAAACAAAAAATTATAAAATCGCCTAATAGTTTATTACAAAAACTATTCATTCTCCACTTAATTAATTGTTTCATCTAACTTTAATTGATCTAACTTTAATTCAATAAAAAAGATTAAACATAAATTGTAGTGTACTAGTCTTTAGTTCTCTCACATAGTACGAACAATCTTCTCTCGTTGAACTTACATTTTTCGATCATATGACCGAGAAGTCGTAAACCAACATTGTTAGTTAGAACCATTTGTTAGTTAATACTATCATTTGCAACTATAATTAAGTAACACCGTACAAGTTATGACAATTTTCATTTGTGTCATCAATATCACATGGTTCATGCCTTGTTTTACTTTATTGCACATTTTTAGTGCATTAATTTCATGCTAAAATCAAACATATTGAAAGCAGTGATTATTAAACATAAATCACTAATTTTGTCCTTTTTCATATTAAATTGCTTTAAACATTTTCATATGTAGCTGAAAGAAAAGTTTTTTAATTATGAAAAATCCAAAAAACTATTACTCCTTCTGTTTGTATTTATATTTACAAAATCAATTCTTACTTTATCATCTATATTTATCAAATTGAATGCAATAATAAATTTTATATTGGTAAAAATAATAAATTTTAAAAAATAGTAATTTGATTATTTTATTTTATTTTCATATGAAATAAATATTTAATAAATATATGTGTAGTTGTATTAAACAAAATATAAATTTATAGATCAATTTTTATATTTAGAAATCTCAAAATCATGATATGAAAACTAGAAATTTTAGAAAGGCAAGAGATTTTAAGGAATTTGGAGCCTTTTTTGGATTAGGCCATAGTGTGGTGGATTATGTAGTTTTGGGCCTGTCGGCCTAGTGCCAACTTTGTACCGAGGTTATTTGGCAATAAAAGAGATTTAAGCTCAATATTTTGAAAAAAAAAATTATTTCGTATCATTTTTTTTTTTTTGGAGAATATGATATTTCATTCATAATATAAAATTATAAGATGGAATCAATATAAAATTACTTGTAACACTGATTCAATCTTATGCTTTCATATTGTGATACAATATCGCATGACTAAGCACCTATTTAATAATTTTACTTTAGGAGATTTATTAAAAATAAGGGTAATGAACTAAAAAATTAATATCAGAGGTATTTTCAAGTCAAAAAATTGATATCACGTGCATTTAGGGGTCGAAGATAGATAGTGAATAATATTATACTAATTTAAATATCTAAAGATATTTTAGATTCTTCTCCAATATATATGTCTTAAGGTATTTTGACAAATAAAATAACAAAATTAGCATCAGAAACTAATTTATAAAATATGTTGACCCCACTAAAGTTTATCTTACTTCATTTAAAATTTGATAAATTTGACCAGTTAATTATACTAAAATTTGGGTGTCAAACTGAGATCCTTTATAAAATTTATTCGAAAAGTTACTCCCTTAGTTTCTAGTACGGTACGATTCTATTTAGACATTGTAATTACTAAATGACATTATTATTTTTATTTTATTCTTAAAAATATGCATATTTAATTGAATATAAAAAATTAAGTAAATATTTTTATCTAATAATAGTTGTTCATTATATTATTTTGAAATATTCAATAATATTTGTCCATTTTATGAAATTAATAGATAACTTTATACTTGATTTTTAATTTACTTTTATCATTAATGATAGTCATTTCCCTGTTATAATTTTAACATATGTTTATTACTCTTTTTGTTTGTTCACTTTTGAATTGACACATCTATTAAGAAAACAATTATTAATGTAGTGAGTTTACCATTTTACCTCTACTACTTAGGAAGTATATGGATTAAAAATTTATGAATTTTCAAAAAGTTTTACAATTTCCAAAATAATTAATTAAGGGTACAACAGGTAAAAAAAAATTGTCCTTTCTTGATTTGTTAAAATGGGTAAATAATTAAGGACAACTAAAAAAAAAGGACAAGTAATTGAGAAGAACTAAAAAAAATAAAAGTGGACAAGTAGTCAGGGAGTAGGGACAAAAGAAGTATGGGTTATATATTAAAATTATCTTTCTATTTATCGTTTCTTAAAAAGTGTATAAAGTCAATAATGAACAATTATTATTAAACAGAGAAAGTAATTCATGTTAGTCAAAATAATTCATCAAAATAAATTAGTTCATGCTCACAATTTGACTTCAAGAGAATACTTATTATATAGTACTCATTTTGTTCCAAATTTTCAATTTATGTTACACTTTTCATTTTTCGAAGTCATAATAATTGACAATTCAAAATATTTTAAAAATACACAAAAACTCTACAATCAAAGATTGGCTAGTTTGAATCTCAAAGATAAACTCACACAATTTCTTAAGCAACTTACAAACTAGAATGGTGATAACTATTACTCCTATTGTCCCAATTTATGCGACTTACTTTCTTTTTTAGTCAATTTAAAAAAAATGACAAGTTTTTAACAATTTAACTATAAATATCTATTTTATCCTTAATGAAATAATCTACAATCATACAAATTTCTATCATTCATTGTGGACCACAATTTTAAGAATTCTTTCTCTTTTTTTTTTCTTAAATCTTTTGTCGAGTCAAAGTGCCTCACATTAAATGAAACGAATAGAGTATTACCTAAAAAAGAAAAAAAAAAAACCCGCACTAAATCAACGGTCAAAAGTTGTGTATGGCCCATCAAACGAGCCGCTCTACAAATCTTCCATTTAAGTATACAAAAATCATTTCTCCTTGCTGCCCTAAAAATTCGAAGCAAAATTTCTGTGTCCCGCTTTCAACAGCAAACTCTGGTAACCGTCCGCCGATATGGGTAGCTCTTCTAATGCCGCCGCCCCTATCAACAACGTAGACAAGGGCGTCGATTATGCTAACTATTTCTGCACTTACGCTTTTCTCTATCACCAAAAAGAGATGCTCTCTGATCGTGTTCGTATGGATGCTTACTACAATGCTATTTTCCAAAACAAACATCATTTTGCTGGAAAGGTAAACGGTTTATGTAACTCGTATCTTTTATTTCAAGTCGTTCTCTCAATGTGCATGTTTGATTTCTAACTACATTTTTACAGTTACTAATATTTATGCTTAGCTAGCTTTTAGTTTCCTTCTATTGACTGTGATAACTTGCAGTTTCGATGTCAGTTTAGTTTTGAGTTTCTCTGTAAAATTTGTATGTATGGTGCTGATTTTCGCAAATGCAGGTAACTTCGTTTTTGCAGTTTCTCAGACTGTCTGGCCGAGCTTCTAAAATCAGTTTATTTTGAAAAAGTGCAGAAAGTGTTTTTTAAAATAGTTTATGATTTTTATATGCATACAAATATTCAGTTTATTTTGAAGAAGTGCAGAAAGTGTTTTTTTCAAAGTAGTTTATGATTCTTATATGCATACAAATATCAGAAAGTAGCTGGTACTAATTTGATTGAGTAGTCAGAGGAAAAAGCTGTCCTTCTCAATTTGTTAGTGAGATTCGACAAACCATTGCACAGTATAAGCTTCACATTCAATTTCTGTTGATGACTCTTGATTGAATGGTTGTACTGAACTACATTTGTGCTATTAATACATTCACTAAGATCTTGAGTTGTAGGTTGGGATTAATTTAGCTGGAAACTGGTTTAGGCTGTTTTGGATGTAGGGACAGGGAGCGGCATATTGGCATTATGGTCAGCACAAGCAGGTGCAAGGAAAGTTTATGCAGTCGAAGCCACCAAGATGGCAGAACATGCTCGTGAACTTGTTAAAACAAATGGGTTTGAGCATGTTGTTGAAGTGATTGAGGGGTCAATGGAAGATATTACTCTGCCTGAGAAGGGTTAGTCTTTAAATTTCTTACTATTCCCTTGAAAACAAAGCCAGTATTTTATAGTAGCAACCATTTACGTCATCTCTACAATACTGCTGTCTTGAGTTCTAATTGAATAAATCGTGCTATGCAGTTGATGTAATCATTTCAGAGTGGATGGGATACTTCCTTCTACGTGAATCAATGTTTGACTCAGTTATCTGTGCTCGGGATCGTTGGTTGAACCCAGATGGAGTTATGTAAGAGTCACTGCCTGTAAATATTACCTATACTTTTCCAGTTTTTTTTCTCAATATTATTGCTTTTCCTAACTTTTGCTTGTCTAATAACCTCTGCATTTCTCACTTCATAAATGTACTGAAACTTTGGTTTGGTATATTTTGAAGTAATACATATGCACTTCTAATCTGGTTGGATCTTTTCACCAGCCATCTGGAGGGAATCATTTTCTCAAAAATATGGCGTGTTTAAGTTACATGTAGTGCCTGCTCCATCCTGCTCTGTAGATAAACTATACATTTAGATTTTGTTCCGACTTTAAGATTTACACACTTGCCTAGTTGGTGATCAATTAGTGAATCATTTTGTCAAAACCTTAATTCTGGCTTTCTGCATTATTCTAGAATAGCTATTTTTGTTGACTGTTCATGGATATCTTACATCCCACTTCTGCATAATATAGTATCAAAATATATAATTTTATTTTTGTTATAGTACACTCTGATTTGATTTGATCTTAAGATCATATTAATGTGGGAATGTCCAAGTATCCACAATTATTAGCACAAGTTCGGGAATGTCAGGGTGGGTTCTGATATGCCATCTCACTCTAAATCTACTTGCTGCTATCATAATTTTGAAATATGAACAGTTGGCATGAAATAAAAGTTCTGTTAGAATATATGGATGTTGAATGGGGTGAGATGCTGCTGCTCAGTAACTTTTAATTACTAGTGAGTGCCTCTTTTTGATTTTTGAAATTGGTATTCCCATTGCATATGCACATTATAATTTCAATATATGAATTTTTTCCATAGATTTACTACTACAGATAATCTCTCTGCATACTTCTTTCATATTTCAGTTCTTCTAAGCATTACCACTTCAAAAGAAAAAAAATCACCTAACCAGTAATGAATGTTTTTTTTGGCCATGAAATTAACTTCACTCAAAACAATCATCTATTCCTAAGGAGTCGTTTTGAAAAGAATGAGAGATTCAGAGTTCAAGGATCAAATGATTTAAGTTTAATTCTTAACTTTTGCAACAATTTATTTTTTCAAAAAGAAAACGTACATATTAAGAAACAATATAAAAGTACTCTAAGTAATAACTTTTTATTATTAGAGTATTATATTAATAATAAATTGTAGTCAATGAAAATGTTTCTACTCTCCAAACAGTGCTCCCTAAAAGAAGATGAACCATCAATTACTTTAACCATTTGGTGATGCATGAGGTATGCTCACGTTCTAGCATTGGGAATAAGCTTGAAACTTAATTGGGACATTGCATATGAGAGCGCACTACAAGGAAGAAGCTTGACTGGAATGAGTGAAGGAGGACCCTCCTTGCACGCACACACCAAGCAACCTTCAGCGTAGGAGAAAAAAACTTGATCTCCATAGAAGATCTCCCACCCCTTACTTTCAGAAGCATGAACGGGCTTATCCTTACTTATAGATAAAGAGAAGTAAAAAAAGAAATGATCGTGCAGATGACTTCATGAATGGGATTATTTTATTTTCAAATTTTGAATTTCTTAATTATATCCTTCTCAAAAAAATATTAAGCATATCGATTTGAGATATCTGCTACAACTGTTTTAGTAGTTCATATTTAATCACAGATTGTTTCTGCTTGTCTGTCCTTTGGTTCAAGAAGCTTTGGTTTTCCAGGTACCCAAGCCATGCTCGAATGTGGGTTGCACCAATCCGCTCTGGATTAGTGGATCAAAAGAAGATTGATTATGATAGAGCAATGGATGATTGGTCCCATTTTGTCAATGAGACGAAAACGTTTTATGGTGTGGATATGGGCAGTCTGACTAAGCCTTTTACGGATGAGCAGAGAAAATACTATCTACAGGTTGATGTTATTTCCTTTTCGTTTATGCAAACTGTGTGGTTCATTATCATTATAATGATTTCTTAATTATGGTTTATATTATTTTTCCACTGCATTCTTTTATATCTGCATTAATACTGAGTTTTTTTGCAAATTCTCCTCTTCCATTGAAAAAAAATCAAATTCATCAATAAACTAACTGCTGTTGAGCTGGCCTACTTGTTTATTGTGTTTATCAAATTATCCGAATTACAACTGTAGATCATGCATTTTTTTCTGCGTTCTTGAAGTTTGTTCCACTGTCTTTGTAAGTGAATATGTGCAGTAATGACTAGAAACTGTAAAAAGATTAGATTGATCAATACATTAACTTTTTGTCAAATACCATTTTCTCAGTGAATGTGTCTATATAACCATAGCTTCTTATGGTTGAAATACAAAATACACCTTTTGTTACATTGTGTGATAGTTTATTTGATGAATATAATCAGACATGAAAATTCAGTTGGGGACCTTGAACAGAATGAGGCAACTTGAGAGTTGAGAGACATTTTCATTTGATGTGAATGCCAAACTAAGAAGTTATTGCACTTTGCAGTATTACTATTTTCATTGATAGATTTCTCATTTGCTTGGCTCCTTGAACATCTCAAAGACCAAACTCATGTTTTATGTAGACATCATTGTGGAACAACCTTCATCCAAATCAAGTAATTGGAAAACCTGCTGTCATAAAGGAGATTGATTGTTTAACATCAAGTGTGAATGATTTACTCAGTCTTCAGGCAAATATCTCATCAATCATTACTGCAGAAAATACACGATTCTGTGGGTTTGGTGGATGGTTTGATGTCCACTTTCGAGTAAGTTGTCCTTACTGTGTCTTTTCTGCATTGTAGTGAATGCAAATTAATATTATTTTGAACTCACTGATTTTGTCAGGGACGCAAGGAGAATCCAGCTAAAAATGAGATTGAGTTGACAACAGCTCCAAGTGAAGACCTTGGAACACACTGGGGGCAGCAGGTTAGTTGACTAAGCCTGTTCAAGTGAAGACTTTTTAACTGTCAGGCAAACTTAAAACTAATTGAAATTTGCTAGAAAAATTGTGTTTTCAAAGTCATTGTTGACTTTGTTGGCTAATCTCTTCAAGGTTATCATCATCCATCAATCTGATGACCTAAAATTTCAAGTGTTTTATTTATCCAATACCTAGAATAATTCCATAGTACTAGAGTTAATAAGAGAGCCGCCCGCAAAAGTAGGAGCAAATCAAAATGTCCTGAATACACTGAAATGACAATCTTCCGTTACAATATTCTAAGATATTCTAAGATAGCATGAGTGGATACCCTTACAATATCTTGAGAAAAACAAGGCTTCTCTTTGCTTGAATAATTGTGTGATTTTCTTTCAGTAGAAAATTATTTGCACTTTTCTCTCTATTTGAGGACATTAGTGGAAACTCTTCATATGGAGGAAGGATCATATGAAGATCTCCTGTAATCATCAGCTGATTGACGCCTTCTTCCACAAAGACTTCTTCTTTGTCTCTGATTCTGTGATTCATCCCCTTTTATCCCAAGCTCATACCTGATGAATGCCTTGCACTCAATCTGCAGTAACATGTGATTTTGTTTGCATCTGATAACTGAATTACATGAAGGCGTGAAGCCTCATCACCCATTTCAAGATGCCCATGAGGACATTTCTTTTTTTCACCAATCAATCTCCAATTCAAATCACAAATCTGATCTTTTTCCAAATTGTATCATTCAAAGGGAAGTTTGCTTTCATAGAGAAGTTGTACATTAGATATTTTCTTAGGTGGGAGATCAATCAAGAGTCTATGAGAACATAAATTCCCATTTGTAACAGTGCCAAAAAGTCCATCACAAAGACATGGCAATCTCAAACCAAAAAAACTTAAGGAACTTTGATTCTAAAAAGTTACAGTAGCTGCACAAAGAAGGAAATATGCTATAACAAGATGAACAAAAGCTGCTACGATACCTCTCAAACTCCACATATATCTATAACACTGGTTATTTTCATCCCCAAAAGTATTAGTAAAACTTCCTACTTAAAGTGAAAAAAGTAAAGGGTCCACCTTTTTCCTGATAAACTTGCATAAAGTTCAACTTTCTCCACTTAGAGACCACCAATTGACTCCTTAAAGAAAACCCAAGAGCAAACAAACTAAAAAAAAAGTATCCATCAAATTATAAGCTCTGCATCAATGGAAACTATTATTTCTTGATTTGGGTTACCCTAATAATGAAATGTTTTGAAGTTGGGTTGAGATGGAACTTTATGTTGGATTGATCCCACCTCAATTAATTTAGTTTGCTATATCTCTGTATCCACTCCGTTCTGTAAGTTACTCTATATCTAAGTGTTTGTGTTCGCTATGGCCAAGTTCTCGGAGCTTATCTAAAGCGATAATTATTTTTATTGCTTCCAAAATACTCTCTAATTTTTTTCAAGGTTTTACATTGCCTGTTCTTGTATTTGCAGGTGTTCTTGTTCTATCCATCCACACGTGTTAGCCAAGGAGATAATATGACAATGAATTTCTCAATGAATCGCTCTAAAGAAAACCATCGGTTGTTGGAAGTTGAGTTTGATTGTGAGCTTAGACAATCTTCTGGAAAGTCACTTCCATCATTCAGCAAAAAGTTTTACATAGAATGAGGAGCACGGCCTGATTTTTCGAAGGTATGGTATATATCTTGCACTTCTGAATATTCATGTTAAACCTCCTATAGTGATCAAATCTAAAGATATGACTGAACTGGCTCCATTTATCTGATTTGGTAAAAAGAAAAACCGGAACCTGTTCCTGACCAGCCATAGGCCGACAATTTTTCTGGATAGGTCTTTGATCTCTCCTTTCCTTCTATTGATCATATTGCGTCTCTTTACTGTAGTTTTGGGTCAACTTAGTTAAGATTGACGTTTCCTCTTGTGCCAGCTTGGTGCTGCCCTTCTGCTCTTATGTTTCATGTTTCCTAATACTCACCCTTTTTCACCATTTTGATTAACTAGAATAAAATTTTCAATGTGCAGTGTCATGTCTAAAGGCCAACGGGATGATCGCTACTGGTGTACACGATCCTCTGGGGAAGAAATTCAGCCATTTCTGCAGCTGACTTATGCTATTGTGTCTTGCCCCCCTAGACTCCTGTGCCCTTCTCAACAAATTTGCCTCTTAAATCCATTTTGCATATTTTTTTCTATTTTTTTTTTTGGGCCTGGAAACTAGGCGTGTTCCCGGGGGCGCTAGAAGCTTTGGAATGTTTTGTAAGCATGCAGGATCACCCACCTACAATTTGTGCGGGAAATGGAGGACTGGTAGGTCAGCATGATGTCCACTTTAAACGCAAGTTTGTATCTAAAGACGAAACTAGTGCTACCTGCTCTCGTCAGTGTGCAAGTATTCTGTAGTCTTGTTAGTGCCATCTATTCTAGTAACTTCCATTTGGAATGGAGTATTCATCTTATGAAGCCAAGAGACCAAAAATGAGATAAATTCATTCTAAAAATAGCTTAGTTTGTTCTTCTATCGTCCTTTTTTATTCCTATTGAAGTTCATTGAAACATCAAAAATTAGTGATTTTTGTTGGATATGAAAGGTTCAAATTTACGATCTTATATCCTGTGACAAAATAAAGTATTAATCTGTATCATTGTGATACAAATGTATCAATTTTCTAAAAGAACTTCCGTGTAAGAACACCCTTATTTTCTTTAATTGCTAATTCAATCAAAATATATACGGAAATAGCCTGTTTCAACGGAAAATAATGATTTGTGATACTGAAATTTCTAGAAAAAGGATAAGTGATGTGCAACGAGGAACTATAGTATCGGTGAAGGAGGAACTCATTAGGCGAGGTAAAAGACATACTTCCCTAAACTCTTGAACGGAAAAAGAAGAGAGACAAGGACATTGTGTTGGGGGAGTTGGAGCCTCTGAGCTGACTCTACACTTCGAACGGAATAACTGAACCAAGCATACAAGCTAACTGGTCCAACTCTAAAATCAAGTAACATTTGATGAATTCAAGAGTCTCATAAATGAAAGCGTGCTGGATAACTAAAATTACAAGCCAAAAATAAGTGAATCCAACTAAAAATTCAAAAATGATGGCAGTTAAATGTCAGAGTTGGAGCAGGACTTCTATGCTATAAAGAGGCTAATGATATTGACTACTATCATACAAGATCAATAGCTTTGATCTCATCATAACCCTCCTATTTGTATTTTTATTGATCAGAAGCATTTAACAACACGCTAAGCTGCTATTGGAGAAGTTGATATTTGCTTCCCAAGAATATGACATTCTAGCGAGGCAATGGCCCTCCAAGTATGAACTAAGCACAGTTCCCCAAATTCAAAAAAACGAACACTTCACTTGGAATATTGACCCTCTATGAAAGATAGTTTTTGGGTCTGAATTAATAGGGGTGAATTTTCCATATACCCTGGTGCAACTGAATACTTAGGCCTAGGCCAACAAATGTATTTGGTGGTTTTATGTCAAATTCTATTAACTAAATATCAAGAGGAACACCTATGATCTTCTTCCTTCCCCTCTCTATACCCATCAAGATTCAAGAACATCCACCACCAAGGCTGTTCTTATTATCTTCTCCAACACCATCACTCAAGAGACTAGACTCTTTCTCTCTATTAAAAAATGGAGTCTTTCTACTCGTTGTTACTCTCACCCCCTTTCTACCCACCCCCAAATAATAAAATATCAGAGAGGGAGATTATGGTTAGATGGTGGACAGCAAAATATTAACTCCGAATGCATAAATATGCAATAACTTTTCCCTAAAAATACATTCAAGAAAATACAGAGATGCTATCCGACTGTCTGTCAAAAGAAATCAATTAACCAATTGAACTGGTGCAGAGAGTAGAATCTCAACAGACAACTTGAGCAAAGCTCGAAACTATAGACAATGGCCTATTGATGTCCTTGATTATGTGGTGGAGGCCCTGGCGGCAGTGGCGGAGGCATTCCAGATTGATGACCAAAGTTTGACTGCATGTGCATTCCAGGAGGTGTGTTTGGATTTCCAGATTGCTGTTTAAGGCAAAAAGAAAAAGAACAACCAGGGTCACTGAACTGAAGAAATCAACTCAACAGCCCAAAACAGCAAATTTTTCAAGTTCCAGGAATCAGAACATAGGTATTTCATATATTCATTAGTCAGTTAAACATACGAGGACGAGAAAGTAAATTACCTCACTGATCTAATACTAAGAAGATCTAAAAACATTAAAAAAAAAAAAAGAGAAGAGAAAATTATCCAGACTGGGAACTTGTAAAGGTACACTTCCATTGGGTTCAATATTACACATACACAGTAGGTAAAATTCCTTCACATTAATATCTCTTCACAAAATCAGAGAACAGAAAAGACACAAATTAATAAAAAAGCTCAGCTGGTTTGAAGAACAATATGGGCAGATCAGGTTCAGTATAGGTAATCTCATGAATTGAGTTTTGGCAGGAAGAGAAAGCTAATAGAGAAGTTCATTAACTGCCTCTCTCCCATGTAAATACAATATATGGATCAGAAAGCCTTTCCACTTTACAGGGTAATTTGAGAAGGCAAATTATTTTTATTCTATTAATCGAAAAATATCAAACAGCCAGTAGGCGCACAATTTGAAACTTGAAGGATAATGGACCCACTTAAATTCAGGCTTCTGCAGGAAGGTTCCAACGCATACATCCAACCCCCTACCTGTCACAGATTTCACTCTTCCCACTAGATCAAAGCACCGGCAGAGTTCAAAGACATTATACTCACTAAACCCCCCTACCCCTCTCCACCTAAGAAAATAACACACTGTCTACCCCCCAATACCTCCCAACAGCCAAGGTCTACCCCGTGGAGAAAGAAGAAACAAATCAAAACTACATCTACCATATAAATTAAATTGAGAAAATGTCGCAGAGAAGTAGGGACATTCAGCATTCATGCACACAAAATGACCTCAAAAAGAACTTTTGATAAGGTAAGATAATGAATAGTACCAAGGAGGTACTGAAAATATACAAAAATGCTGGAAGAAGCACAATTAAATCAGTAGCTCATATGCTCGTACTATCCAAAAAGTCAGAAAGATAGATCTCATTCATCTATCCAACTATTCTCACACAAGTATAGAAATGACCTTGAAAAGAATGTTCAGTTAATCACCAAAATATAAACTCCCAAGCTTTACCCTCAAGCATAACTAGCCCAGGAATGGCGAAAATTTGAATAACTCCTAGCACCTTCTAAAGAAAATACATATAACTTCCCCAGCTTTCAGTAACAACTACTAGAAGAACAAATAATTATGAAGTCGATGTCATCATCCCAAATTCATTCAGACCCCATTCTTATTTTGCCCCTAACAAAAGCTCACAGGTATAGATACCTAACTTCTCCTTCTGGCAATAAACATTTAGTATCACCCATGCAGATCCTACCACTTTTGATATACTGGACCGAAAATTGTTGACTTACTCTATTTAGAGTTCCTTATCTTCACACTTTTTGACCACCTTTAATCCTTTAGTAAAACTGGATTCAACTCATCTTCACACATTTTTCAGTTCTCCAGCATAAGTTGAAGTTGCAGTCTTTAAGAAAATAATGACAGCAATTGGAATTTATTTCTGGAAAATTGCTCGGAACAATAAGTTTTAGACTGTAACTATCTCTTTTCAATCCGCTAAAACTACCCCAACTTAATGCAACGATAAGTAGGGGAACCTATGTAATAAATAATAGTAGCAAATTATTAACTGAATAGTTAGACACATTTAACTGAAAATAAGAATCCAAATAAAAGGGGATCCCTAACAGAATGAATAAGCTGCCAAAAGATTATCACCATGCACTCTAAGGTCTCTTAAAGTATTTACATGTCATTCACCTGATAAGGATTAAGTCCAGGCATGAGCGGCATCTGTCCAGCTTGTGGCCTGTTGAAGCCTCGTACTGGTGGAAACATCTGATTGCCTCCTGCATTTTGAGGGCCTTGCATGTTTGGCAATCCATTTGGCATTCCACCAGGGGGAACATTGCCCTGCGGTCCAGATCCAGGAGGCATGCCAACAAAATGACCTTGAGGCATTGGAGGGCCCATCTGATTCATGTTACCTTGTATCCCCTGAAAAGAAAAAGACAGTCAATCTGTGATGCTGAAATAACCTTTTGATCCTCTCAATATATTTCCTTCAAAGCAAATGCACTTTGTATCAATTGACCAACTATGCCACAATGCAAAAGTAGTTGTCCTTGCTACCAATTACGCTCTATTCAAGAAGAGGCGAAGACCCTAGTAAAATTAGATCCATGCATGCTGTATCACCTGCATACTGTTGAACAATGTGAGCCCGTCTCGTATAAAATCTTAAGTTGTTAGAGACATGACACATCATAAATGTGTTTTATGCCAGATAGTGCCCTCTCGCATGCAAACCTGCCTTTTCCCCCTTGTGCCAAGCATATGAACATATTTTGTTGGTGGACGGCAACACTTGACTGAGGACCCTCTGCCATCTCTAAAATACCATTTGGCTACAAATCTCATCTTCATACAAATGCATGGCTAACTCAAATTATTTTATGGCCTCAACCTTGAATATCAGTTACTTAAGAGTAGGAATCTTTCAAAATGGTCATCTCTGTTCTGTAACAGTAAAAATTTCATATAATCAAAGTTTTATGAACAATGCACAAACTGAATCTGGAACTACTACAGAAAAGATGAAGTTCTTGCACTCAAGGGGGAAGTTCAAATGAAGAATCAGAATTCAGCATAAGCAAGCATAAACTTAGAGATACAAATCAATACAAATAGGTTTAGCAAGACAATTATACGCAGAGATACAAATGAATACAAGGAAAAGTGAATCTACACCACTAATTTATTTCCATTGGTTTAGCAAGACAATTATACTTAGAGATGCACCAAGAAGGTGACAATCAAGATAAATCATGACACATCTACAGGAAGAAAAGAGAGATACACGCAATATACAGACAGCTGCAGAAATATGATACTTACCATCGGAGGCATTCCTTGGATGGGTCCAGATCCTGGCATTGAAGACTGAATGCCGGGCATGTTTACTGGTTGTAGTTGATGTGGTGGCCGAGGTAGATGAGGATGTGGCATTAGAGGCATATGTGGAGGCTGTAGCTGTGGCAAATTCGGTGGTTGCAAAGGAAGAGAAGTCATTTGTTGAGGCAGTGACTGCTGCTGAGCTTGCTGCATGTTTTGTTGATATGCTTGCTGCTGATTACTTGCAAGAAGCGATGGATGTGGACCAGGAGGAAGGGGAGGAGCTCCTAAAGGCATTGAAGTCTTCTGTTCTCCTTGAGAAGGTGAATCAAGTGATGGGATAGACAGTGGCATTGCAGCTCCAACTCCAGGTATTGTACCCTCCGTTCGTAACATACCAGAGGCAAATGCTCCAGGAGTTGATGGGGGCTCAGGACCTGGAAAATTACCAGGCATGCGACCAAGAACATTGTGTTGATCACCCAAACCTGAAATCAACCAAAATACCTGTGCTGAGGCTATTTAAGCACTATAGTTTGGTAGTTCAACGTGATAGTCAAACTAAGACTAT